AAAAAACATTTTTTTTAACCTCTTAATTAGAATTTTAGATGCATAATAAGTTAGAAATAAGACTGCAGTCTTAAAAAACAAACTAACCCTGAAGGACCGCCTCTAAAGAAACAAAGCGAGCTGCTAGGCGCAGTAATGCACCTATTCACATATTAGGTCGATGTGATTCAAGTAGATACTATTCATTCTTTTAAGGCCACAATTGCAATGGATATCATTCTCTTTTCCCCCCCGTCTTTGTTGTGCACACCTCTGACAGGACACTGAGGTGTGCTGTGGCGGGGTACAGGTCCTGGAGGTGTCATGTTGTCACCCAAAACGCGCCAGTACCGGTCCTCGGGGATGGCCCTGTAATGTCCGGCCTCATCGGATCAGCAGCAGTCACGGCCTGTGGGCGCCTTCTCTCAGGTGACATCCCCTATCTGCTCTGCACATATGATGGCCCTGCTGCTGCTGCTGCTTTTATTATGACCCCTTTATTCTATTAAATGCAGTGTATTCACGAGCATTTGTAGATTAGAGAAAAGGCCTTTATTAGTATTTAACTTTTAAAGTGTTGTGTGTAAAAGCAGACTCTAGGGATCCAGGCACTCAGTAAAACCTTTTATTAAACACAACGGTAGAATCTGGAGGATTCAATGGGGGGGTTTTCCGCAACACATCGAACCATTAACTGAGCATTTCTGTCGGTACTATTTTGGAAAGTTCAACAAAAAGTGATGGACATGTTCATTAACAAAAGAGGGTAATGTTTAACATCTTGAATCCAAAAATTAATTTGATGTCCCAAGTCCATTGACGGTTCCGGGAATATAACAGATGACATTTCATGTAAAATCCACCGCATACAGTTCCAGATATAATTGGAAAAAGTTCATAAAGAACTCAAGATGTCTAATTGCAGCTGTGTCAACTCATATAAAGCATCACATAAATCAGATTCTGGTCTATTCATTAGCCAATGTGTCAGCAAGCAGATTAGCGATGTTGTAGTGAGACTCCTCAGAATTATGACTTCCCCATTAATTGTAGTTTTGCTTCCATTATGTGCATAAAGTGAATCCCTTTTACGCAAAACACATTTGAATGGAGATCGATATGCACTTGTGGAGCATGAGAATGTTCTGCTTTTAATTACAGGAGAACATAAATAATCATTAAATCAGGGCAAGACTTTCAGAACGACTACAACAAAAGAGCCACATGGAACAAAATGCATGTGTTCGCATTCAAGTATCAACACATTTTTGAGTGGTCAAGCCAGATGATGTATTATGGCAAACCCAAAAGTCTTAACCCCCATTTCATATGAGGGAGAAATGAGGCATACTGTCCCATTATATTGCTATAAATCATTTTTTTGTGGACGGCTGACAGCTTTTTATCAGATCTAACCTTTACAAGCCTCCATTAAAAGTGCTAACATTTTCAACTCTGACACATTTGCAGTTTGCGAATCTCACAGCTGATTTACTTTGGGAGGGGGGGGGGGGCCCAGTGTCCATGCTCATTTCCACACAGGCCGTCCATTGTGTTGGTTTTGGTGGCATGGGGGAGGGAAATTTAGAAAAGGGCTCTGAACTACTTTATTCCAACTGTACATTTACCTTTTCAATCTGCGTTACTCTGACGCACAGAGGTGTAGTGGCTTAGAAGGTATTTTGTGTTAATTCTGATTTATCCTATTGATACTTTAAAATGGTACAAAACTGCGACATTGAGGTCAATTAAGGACAGTAATGATCTGAATGATTAGTAATGCGTGGACCATGTCAGAGAATAGAGGCTGTGGGACTCAAGAAATAACATACAAACGACAAGCATATAAAATTAAGAGGAAACCCATGTAGAATTTTTTGTCAGATGTATGCTGTGGTTTGACTTGGAAGGCTGTAATGTTTTGATTGATATGACAACGAGGACCACTGCTTGATCTATATATCCATCTATTTATCCATCCATCAAGCATCAAAACTTCACTAGCGTCTTTTGTCAAGGACAGAATCTGACAGCTTTACTAAGTAACTAAACCTCAGAGGTCAAAATAAAAAAGACATGATTAGTAAATAATTGTCGTTATCTAAATGTATTTGATGATCTACACTGATCAGACACAGTAGGGCAGCATTTCTACTAGGTTACTACATAGGGAGTTACTATAGGAACTCGGCCCACCATAACTGATTTAAGTACACTATAATAAAGGAGGGACAGTTAAGGCGGCACCACAGAAGGGTCCATCTTTCATTACATGCTGTGTTTAACCTTACCCACTTCTCCTAAAACACACAAGAGGCTCATTATGTGTTTAATATTCACCAGCAGGTGAATAATTTTTATGCAACTCTGATAGTTGGGCGAGATGGATAACTCAATTATGTGAACATCCGTCAGAGCAGAGGGCTCACTGGTTCTGGAACGCCACCAGCTAAGATTGATGGCTTGAAGACACCGATAGCTGCTGCTGCTGCTGCTGCTGCTACGCTATCTCATCCAGCCACTGGGCCTGAACACGCCGGTTGATTCTGCAAGAAGACCGTTTTTCTCTCCATTTTTTCCCTTTTTTTAAATCTTTTTTTTTTCTTTTCTTGGGAGCCTTGTAGGTGAAGCGTCATTACCCCTCACTCCACTGAAGAGGGGGTCATTATGGGGTTAGTGTGTTGGCAAGACTATTGTTTGGATGATGAATGCTGTTGGTGAGGGCTTTGGAGGAGAAATTAGTTATGTTTTTTCTTTTTGTCTACAAGAACATATCTGCACTGCTCACTCCACGATGCTTGAGGGCAAACCAAGAACAATTAACACAAGCAATGAGTGAAGCGGCTCGGTTAAAGCAAAGAGGGAATTCATGAAAAATAAGCAAATCACTGGGAATGTCAATCAGGACCAATGAAGTCATTACAAACACGGCTGTGCGATTCCAAGGGCAGTCCGAAAGGAAAACCGAAAAGGTTTCCAGTCAAACGCTGAAATCAGAGTTTGAGGAATGGACAAACACTCTAAACATCGGCCCTGCGGGGCCCGTCTCGTAAACTAAGAGCGACTGATGAGAAGTGAAAGGAGGATGATGTCACCCCATCACTTTCTCATACTCCCTATTTCTCTATTGGGTTATTTTTTTTTGCGACTACAAAGAGCTGACCCCAAATTCACTGCTAACACACACAAACATGCACATGTGCGCACACACACATGTACCTCAGACGATAATCCGTAAGGTCGAACAATGAGAGAAAACTGAGGCACATTTTCAAATGTCAGCACTAAATGTCAATTAAAAATTACAAGGGTGCTGGAAAAGGTAGGGTCTGAAGGGACTGACATTTTTTCTTTTTTGACACAACAATGTTTATCTGACCGGGCTGCAAGCTGACATGATGGGATCTACTTTGTCAGCTCCTTAATACACTCGGACAAGGCCGCCCCAGTGAATATCAATGAGAGACAGCCGAAGGCAGATATGTAAGGCTCCGGCTAACGCTAACCATCCAATCAGCCGGTCAGGATTGGGATATTTTCATCTACTCTCAACAATTGCCATGAGGAGCAAAGTGAGGAAGACAGAGGACCTGTTAATGCCATTTTTTTCAATCCAAACTAAGAAAGAACATTGACTTACCGGGGAAAATATGTATGATCTAAATGAGCCTTCCTTATCTTTAAGTTTGACATCCTCATCAAGCGTTGTCTGGGAACCATCTGGGGCCTAAACAAAGCCTTTCATATCAACTTTCCGAGTGGTATCCAATGAGGCCTAACAAATATAGAAACTATTAACCATCTAGGTTGGACCTTTTCAAATCCACACCCCAATGGCTTTTAGTCCCTGACGTCAACAATAGTGGAAAGAAAAGTAGCTTTCTTCTGGAAAGAGGCCATTTCCAAATAAAACTATGTTACTCTGAGAAAATAAAACACACCATTGATTACGACCTTGACCTCGTCTCCTGCATTTTAACTGCTTAATGCTATCGGATGTCATCTCCCCTTGAAATCAAATAATCGCTCGCCTGGCAGCCTTGTGAGTGAAATCAGTAAAGCAGTCAGATTGATGTAGGCGCCTTTTTCTGAATTTGGACCCATTATTTCCCTATCGTTTCCTCTACAAAAACTGTTAGTTATTGCCTGAAATAGAGACTCACTCTGAATCATTTGTGGGATACACGAGAGTAAACCGTGGCCGGGTGCTGCACATGCACCACGGAGGAGAGACGGAGAGAGTCTGGCTGTGCCTGCGGTCTGGAACCTCCTGGCGCTCCAGGACCATGTCACAACACATCAGCTGGCTGTCACGGCTGAGGGGGGCCGGAGCCGCATTCAGGCAAATGGCGGCAGCGTGAGCGACTTTTCAACTCGGTGACTGGAACCCGGCACCGGGGGGAGGTGAGGAGCATGCGTGAATGACCCTTACTCTTCCTTCTGTGTGTGCGCCTGTTCATAGCACATCTTTTTGCTTGGGTTAGAGAAATTGTTCATTTATTCACTGACAGAACTGTTGGACATGTTCAGCCTTTCGACATTTCTGAATGACTCCCAGACACATTCACACACCTCTGTTGCCCAAATGAGGATCAGACCACGAGGGTCTGTTCCTTTCCAAAAAGGTTCTCATGACAACAGATGCAACAGATTAATCGCCCATTTACCAGCTTCCCTTCCAAAACAATGTGTGTACTCTTGAAAACAATCCAGCTCACAAGGCAGACCCTCCAGACCGTAAAAGGCCCCAATGACAGGAGTGGATGTGGAAGTAGTGTGGTGTGCAGATGTAGCACGTGGAAGTTCAAGTGTGGGGTTAGTGTGCTCTGTGCCAGGGAGGAAGCGGTTAAAGTTGTTTGTCTGAGATATGAGCTGCCTTTGTGATATTGAGGAAAGCGGATAGTGGTCAAAAAGGAGAAGTTATAAACAATACGCCAACTGGGAAAATAGCATAATGTGGTTAATAAAGATAAGCACATGAAAGCAGAATACAAAGTGGTGGGAATGGAGAGAAGACTCACCTGTTCCAGTAGCTCCAGAACTGCTCATTGAGATAGGTGCGGTGACTGTGGTCGTCTCCGAACGAGGCCTTGCTCTCGATCCAGTGTACGATGTGTCCCTCCACCGCTTTTCAGAGCCGGAAACACAGAGCAGCCCTCACAAAATCAATTACAAGCACAACACAAACACAAGCAAGATCCAGAAGGGACGTTTGACATTTCCTTTATCTTCTTCTCATCCACCCAAAATCTAAGAAAAGTTCCAACAGCTGCATAGCCCTCTTTGAAACAAGGTAAAAAAAAGCAGTTTTTCAGATGAAACATCCTTGTATAATGTTTATGAATACTAACCAATGGGAACCTCCAGGATGATATCTGGTGTTTTGTCGTAGCCCATAACTCTCAGTTGGTTTTCATCTACGGGAGATAAAGTACAGAATGTTGTACTATTCCTCAGACAAGTCCTGTTGCATTAATCACAGGCAGGTAACCTATCAACCTTCACCAAGGTCCAGGTAAGAAAAAAAATAAAAAGAAGAAAAAACCTGCTAGCAAAGCCAGCCCAGTAAAACCATTAACTACATCGGACACGTATTCGCTGTCGATGCACAAAAACCTGTAAAGCCCAGTTACAGAGCTGCTTTCCAGTTTGGCAGAGCTTTGTAAAATATACAGCAAAGGGGACGAGGTTGGCATTATAGCCTCTGTAAGTCTGACCCCTGCCTTCATAGGCCGCTGCCATTGTCCTTGACTTCTGGTGCGCTTCGGCCATTATCTCCACAACACCTGATTTCTCCATTAAATCTCAGGCTGACCAGGTCATTCAGTTCCAAGGGCCTTCCTCTTTGTCTCCAGCCAACCTCAACTAATGGGGCATGGATGGGAATTGAGGAGAGATAGAGGGTGGCGGTGTCACCGGTTGTGAGGGCGTAGCGTCAGCCAAGGGGGGAGAAAGAGAGCCGAGTGAGGTCGGAAAGGCTGCCCCGGGGCCTGTGGTACAAAGGGGCATCAAGGGCGTGGTAATGTGGGTGTTAATGTGTATGTGGTGGGATGGGAGCCTCTATTCATACCTACTGGGCTGTTGACATTGTCGGGTGGCTCTGATCGCCTTTTTACATCACCTTTGATTAAAATTAATGGGGCATCCCCGCTGTTGGGTGGCTTATTTCCAATCCATTCATCAGATGGGGTGAGGCGGCCCGAGTGGCCCTTGTGCTGCTCGAGCTCTGACAGTTTTAGAACTGTCCTTTTGCACGGCTCGGAAAGAAAGGTCAGCACTGCAGGTTCAAATATATGATATGGTCTTAGTGAGAGAGGGAATGACTTTTATCCTCCATCACTCATCTGACCTAGGGGAGGGTGATGGGCCGGGGGTTAAAAACCCCGTCTCACAATTTCACACCTGGACACTCTACCTTGATTAAATATTGTTGGAACAAGATAATGGTATTAGCAAAGTAGAAGACAACAAATGGATAGTTGGGGGTAAAATATTAGAAACTATTAAAAAATAAATAAACCTAAACTTTAAATCCCCGGAGCAAATAATTGTTAAAAAAAGAATGGTAATAATAATATTTATGTTGATGGAAATAGACATGTTCCTAACGCTTTCTGTCAGGTGGTTGTTTCAGACATTAAAAATGACAAAACATTAAAGCATGCATTTGAAGCTTTATTCTATAAATATTCATTGCATGCTGGTGCATCAGCATCCAACGATATTTAATAAGCGCTTCTGGTTGTTAGCAAATCAATAAGAGATAGAAATCCACTGCATCAGTCGTGTCCTGGCTGTCGTTTGCTAGACATACAAAAGGTCCACACACTGCCAAGACCAGATTGACTTTAGAAGTAGGATGAGATGGTAAAGTGACGCCTTACCCAGGAAAGAAAGGTTCCTCTCCTTCAGTTTGTCACAGAGGAGCACCTCATGCTCTTGGCCAATAGCGCTGAGGAAAGAGTCAAGGATTCCAACACGTAGCGATAGCAATATTTTATAAGGTGGCTGAATGGTTAGCTCGTATTGTCTCGGCGTGGGATTAAGATGGAAAGAAAAATAGGTTACTATGGAAACCGCAATGTAAAATGTGGTTTACAGCGGTAGCGGATTTAGTGCACAGATGTGAGCTCCACTGCACATGTGTATGTTTGACTTCAGCTAAAGTTATGATTGTGCTGTTCTCTTCTACTCGGTTAATATGCAAAGCGAAAGCTCGGACTCTTTTTGCCGATTTGCCAATCCATGTTTCCTGAACAACCTTATTCCGTTGTAAAAAAAAAAAAAAAGTTTATTACCTTAATTAGACAGAAACAAATGTTTGGGGCTAAATAAATAGAGCACCAGGCTAGCTTCTCCACTCTTCCTCCAAAAATATTGAAGGAAAATGCTTTCAGAATAAATGCCATTTTGCATTAGAACACATTTTACAGAAAGGTGTTCTGCATTTAATAAAGCCATATCTCAAAACTATCTTTCCAAGAGAGAAAGTGGAAAAGCTCTTAGGCCATTATGCTGCCCTCACTAATCCCTCTCAATGGATTTAATTAATACATGCATTTCATGATTGACTCGACTGCATTCCTCTCACGCGAGGATGGAGCTCTTTCAAACCGCATAGTGGGGCGGTTATAATGAACTCTCTGTGGCGGAGTAACTGACTCGGAGTTGACACTGACGGCAGGACAGCCAAAGAAAGGTAAAAGAGGCGGCATGTGGAAGGAGGGTAGGGTGGGACAGGGTTGACTGGCTATGAACAGAACCAGCCGGGCCCCCCACACACAAGAAGGCTTGGACAGACAATAACATACAGACGTACCCATGTACACTCATTCAAATAAGTCTCCTCCCCCAGGAAACAGTTTGTTTGCTACCCAGCTGCTTGCCCTTAAATAGCTTGGACTCCAATTCTGCACTGTAGTCTAGGCCAAGCCTCTGTTAGATAAGAAGGAGTATTTATAGTTGGGATAAAGAAAAGGAAGGAAGGAAAATGGAGTGCAAACGAATTACACATAAATAATAAAAAACTCAAGTGCGATCAAAATGAATAGTTCCAATTGGACTGTGTGTGCCCAGAACTCTCCATGGTGCTGAACGGCATAATAATCATCAGGAGTAAATTAAATTAAATTAAAAAGGATTAAAAGAAAAAAAAGAAATCCGCATACAACATATATATTTCTTAAATTAAAGTAAAAAAACATAACTTGGGTCAACTTAAATACCAAATAAAAGAACACATTAAGCGCCAAAAGGCTTGTGAATGATGTATTTTCCCCTGTGTCATAGAACACAGTGTGATCACACTGTGTGCACATGGAGATGCATTTAGATCAGCCAATCATCTCTTCCTCCTCCTCCTCCTCCTCCTCTGCCTCACTCTCACTCCATCGCCTTCAAGTCGGCACACCGGTGATTGTGGGCAGGATGAAACACTTCCTCTGTGAAGCAGAACTTTTATGTCAGGTGATGCCAGACACATCACATCCCCTTCAATAGCTCCTCGTCAATTTCGGGGCTTAACATTTTATGGGATAGGATACTGTTTGATGCAGTCTACCAGCGGTCCATAACAGCAGTCATTTATTGTGCACTGAAAAGAGGGAGGGAGAAATATTATGGCGTACAAAAAGGGCGGGCGGGTGGAGATACAGCCCGCACAGCGGCGGGAAAGGAGAAAACACGGGAGATGCTGGCAGATTGGCGGGCATGACCGCCGGCTGTCACGTGACCTCATCAGCAAACATGAGCGGCTGATGCCGTCTGTCAGCCAGGTGGTTGAATAACACCGTAAAAACTCACTGTACCTAGGCGGGGGATTAGTAATATATTAATTGAAAAATAAAAATGTTCATAATCATTTTGATTAAAAATCACTCTTAAAACTATTAAAATGGTTTCCTGTAATATTTCAGTTTAAATACATTATTTCTGTAATCAACACTTACCTGGTAGATGTTTTTGGCCAAAATGGGGTCTGGAATTAATGACGGCTCCTTCAGCATGCTGTTGAGGACGGTTTTAGAGGCTGAGAACAAGACAAAGGCCGGAGAGGGATGGAAACAATAAAAAAAAAATAGATATATCAATCTTCAAACGCGAGTGACGACAAACATGTAAAACAATAATATTGTAATTGCAGTATTGAATTGAGAGCGAACACACCGGTAAGATACAGAGAAAGGACTTGACACACTGTAATTCACCATGCCACTGTGCAGTATTTCCACAGCGCTCCATTAGATGGCTGCTTGGTGTCTGTACAGATTTTCTATAGATAAATGTTTCAGTCCAGAGCACAGGAGCCCCATGTAGTTTATCTATGCTATGAACGCTGACTATTCTGCATCTCTCATCCTTATTCCTGCTCTACTAACATTATAAATCAAGAGAGGAAAGCCAGCCGGATTGATTCGCCGGTAGTGCAACAGCAAAAAAAGTCCTTAAATCATTTCTTAAAAAGATTTGGATTAAATGGATTGTATCATTGTGTGACGAAATGGTTGAGGCACGCCATTTTAGTGATACATGGTCCTGACAGACTTGCAGCATTGCCGACAATACAAGGAATGTTTCTATTCACATTTCAGGCATGAATGGTGCCTGTACCAACACTACATAGAGATCTCCAAGCTCATCTAATCAACTGTTCACAGTATATAACTGTTAAAAACAAGACGGCGCATGTGAAGATTTATAGAACAAATTGTAAAGAGATAGAAAAAGCCCAAATGAAAAAGGATTAATTGCACTTTACACTTACAAACACTGATTGGATCACAGAGTGTTTCTTTGATGAATCGAATTAATAAAATTGCACGTGTTAACCCTTAAGATCTTTAGTCTCGGCCGTCTTCCCCTTCGCATTTCTCTCACAGACATTCGTCCCTGAGAAGACGCTCACAGAGCGGACAAACCGTCCCTCATCTACCTTGAATGATGAAATGAAGAAGGACGGAGCGTATTCTGCGCTCCGTCCTCTCTTTTGGTTTCTTTTTTCTTTGTCTCCATCTCTCTCTGCCACCTCTCCTTTTCCCCCCCTGCTACCTCCTCTCTGTCTGAGTCTCTCCCAGCCACGTTACTCCCCCCTTCCTCCCTCCCTCCCATAACCTCACACTCCCTCTTAGAGCTGCAAGGCAAAGCGCTGTGCTTTATTTCTTTGCTCATTTTTCTCGGAGATTGGTACCTTCACACGCAGATCCATACCGGGGTCCTGTGCCGCGCAGGAAAGCGGAGAAGAAGGAGCGTTATATTTTCCCCTTGAGTTAGGACACCTCATGACAAATGATAATGGGTAATCAATAAAGCGGGAAATATGAGGCGGCAAACTTTATGAAGCCAGCAGACATATTACTCCCCAACAACACTGGTTTCCCTTAACAAAGTCACTACTCGACTGTGCCTAATAATCTGAAGGAAAATCAAAGGACCCGCAACCACATCAGCAATATTGGCAACTTATTCCACTTTAATGGCATTTTGATTGATTTTTCCCCTCTTCCTAATGGTCCTTTTATAGATTCGACGCTGCTTCTGCAAAACAGTGGTGTGTAATAAACCTCCCCGAAGGCAAACGGCAGCCATTAAAGCTCTTGTCTTACTAGCGCTCATAATTGGGGGGTTGACCACTACCACATTTTGATCTCTCACATAACACACACAAAACACACACTACCAGGACCGGGCCCGTCTCCCTCTCCCTCCTTGCCTCTCCAGCGCTTTGACATTTTTGGTAGATGGCCATAATAAGTGATAGGATCCCTTCCTGCTGCTCTTTTTGAGCGATGGGGTTAAAAATAGCCATAAAGAGGTGACCTTGGCGCTGACATTGTGGAATTTCAGCCAAGCATTGACCTGATGAAAATGGAAGGCCAGGCCGCTAATAAATCAGGATGCTTTTAAAATGAGTTTACCCTAATGCTCATTCATCACGGGCTGTAATGCCATTTGCAGGCCCCGGATTCGCTGCCGTGCACAAACACAGCAGTAAATAACAACAGGGCTCTTGCATCCCTCGCATGGCTGCAGCCTCCAACATCAGCATACATTTATTAAAGATGCCCCCGCCTTGCACGGCAGCACTCCTCTGTGACACCCTGAGCTCCTCTCTGCTGCCCCCCCACACACACACACACACACACACACACACACACAATGCTCTTTAAATACACAAACTCAAGGCGCACGTAGACACACACACACACACGCACATAAAACATGTGCAGGAAAATAAAAAGCATAATCTGAAGAACACCAGACACAGGGAACAAAGCCCTGCAGCACGACTCTGCACCTTGTAAACATTCACCAAATTTACTATAATTGTCCCATGTTGGTATAAATTCTGACTAAAGCACTATATCACACCGTCAACATCTGAACAGAGAAAAGGAGAATAATAGATGTGAAATGCTACGCCTCCATTGGGATTCACTAAAGAAAACAGCCAGTGTAAACAAATCACGAGCCTGTTTTCATATGCAAGGTTCCAAAAACAAGATACACTATACGAAGCAAGGTAACGGCAACATCACCGTGGCTTTATTTCTCAGTGTGTACTGGTGTCATTTGTAACGACTCTTGCTTTCTCCATGAGGGTGTAAAAGTCATTATCTCAAAAAAAAAATGTTGCGAAACCTCATTAGATGGCAACATTTGTTGAGGGAGGACCGTAATAAACAATAACGGATGACGGACGTTATTGCCCCTGACACTGATGAGCAAGTTTGTTTATTAATTAAAAAAAAAACACTTTTTGCACGGGTTAGGGGGCGCTTATCCATTTCCTCCACATATACTCAGACCCCCCCAATACTCCCCATGCACAAACCATTGAGCTGTGGAGGGGCACTCGTTCATCAAACTTCATGGAGCAAGGGGGAGACAGGTCCTGATAATGTGCGCCGCTAAAGCTGATTTTCCATGATGAATCTCGGAGCATATAAATTGGCTAATATCTGAAAACATTTACAGATACTAGAGGAATTGACTACTTGTGGGACATGATGGATGAGGCTCTGCGACGCTGGCGGACAGCTCTGCAAATCTCTGCGGCTGCCTAAAGCCCTCATTTGATTTTCCAATTTACTCCTTTTAAATTTATCCTCCCGCATTGAAAAAAAGAAGATGAGAAAGAGAGAGAGAGAGTGAGATGAAGAAAAAAGTGTTTTTTTTAAATATCAGTGGTGGTGTGTAGGTGCTAGTTGATCACATGAGGTGGTATCTTCTGTGCAGGAGGAGCTCAGTCGCTGCAGAGGTTACTGGGGCAGAACTGATCTGCTTCCACCTGATTCTCCCTGATAGCGGTGAGATGAGACTCCACGGTTTGGTGTGTGTGTGCGTATGTGTGGGTGTGTGTAGCAGTATTAATAGTGGATCTGGGGAGGCTCTGCTATGGGGAGAGGCTTCCTAGGTCAGGCCATTAGACTGTGGCAGAGGCTGACTGCAGCTTCTCTGCTGAAAAGGAGTAATTAGTATACTTGTCAAGTGAAGTGTCACTTACCTCCCTTGCACCCGCCCCTTGCATGCATACACACACGCGCAGAAACACTCATCCTGCTTGTGCCTCCTTACTCCCTTCCTTCTTGCTAATGAAGTGCCCTTACGCTCCCTTTTTGAAAGAAAAAAAAAGCTGCATATACACCCCAGCAACACCCCAGCGGAGAGGGAGAAGAGAGGACCACTTGAAGACAAGAGAGGAGAAACCATTACAGCCGTAGTGGATACCAAAGTTGAGACTCTACTGGATGGAAGATAATACAATATTCAGTTATCAACACGTCTGATCTGCAAAACACTGAAGCTATTATGAATTCTGTCAGGCAACCAAAGGATCATAGTAGACACTAACATTCTCACAGTGTTAACATCAAACACAGGACATTTATAACCTGGCGCACAAGGCTTCCGTAAAAGGAATGTGACGATAAATCTTAAAGGCAGTCGAATCACATAGTTACAAAACATGAAGCTGAAATCTAATCTGGAGCTGGGCCTTGGGAAAATGGAAAAGGTCAAATAGCTAGCAAAATTGCCTCCTCAAAAAAAGTACGTCTAAATCTAGAGGCACATCAACTCCTGTCAAAGGAGGAATAGAGAGAAAGATGGAGAGAGGAGGAAGGGAAGAGAAGGAGCTCCCCCAATGGGAGGCAATACTAGGTGATATCTACAGACGTAGAGCTGGATTATACGGCAGTTCACAATATAACTACAGTTCACGCATAATTTGGATTAACATCAGTTTATGATATTTGTTCAAGTCAAACATCTGTCTTGTCAATGTACCTTTTTAAAAATGTTAACGTAATTTCTAATACCAACTTTTTTGCAGTTTTTCAGTTCAGTGTAGTTTTATACAATATAATTTCAGGTTCAGTTCACTTAAGTTAAGTGTTATTATCAAAACGAAGAAGTAATCAAAAAAAATCTTAAAAATTGTAGTATTTGATCAAAATGATAAATTCAACAATAATGAAAACATACATTTTACCTTACTGTTCTTGTTACGTGCCTAACCCTCATGAATTTAAACGCCTAATGTCTAATGTTTGCAACAGTCCATAACAACTATGAGAGACAAACATTGACGCTCTGAACGGGTTCAGATTTGCACGTATCAAGCGCAGCTTTCAGTGACCTGAAAATAGTGGGTATAAAAAGTGAAACGTGCCCACGTGACCTTTCCTCCTCTATCGCCCAGCCGGTTTCACGAGACAAAGAACATCATGGAGGTTGATATCATATTCAATACGTGATAAAACTGCTTTGAATGCATTGATTTATTTACAAGCGCCACCAGATAGTCTTTCATTCTGCGTGACTGATGCTCTCTCCGATACTTTTGCTGCAAGGAGCTGGGGGAGGGAGCTCGTTGGTGGCGTTGTCATGTTGAGGTAGTGGTAGTGGTGTGTGCTGCTAGTGTGAAGGGAGGGCAGGGGCGTGGGTGGAGGTGGTGGTGGTGTAGGGGAGTGTGGGGGGGGCAACAACAAGGCAGCAAAACAAAACAAGGAAAGGACAGAAAACAATTTAAAACTCTGTATTGATCCAGCACTAGTGATTGTACATATATTCCACAGTCCCAAAGGCCCCATTCCTGTGTCTCTTAAATGCAAAGAGACAGAGAAGGGGAATAAAAAAAAAAAAAAAAAAACGATGGTACTAGGCAAGCCACTCACCCAGTTGGGGGTAATGTCCCTTATATAGAAGTCTATTGATCTTTCGCAATGTGCCTGCCAGCCCTCCCTCCCACTGGTCCGACAAAAACACACAAATACACACAGATACATGCACACTGGAGCGCAGTCTGGGACTGCAGGCGGCCATGACAGATAAACCTGACAGCTAATTGCCAGCAAAGACAATTATCCTTGCATTTTTTCATAATGGAAACACATTACCGGAGTCTAATATACACACAGGGAGATTGGACGATTTGACCGCACGGTCCACGCGGACAGCAATTAATTTGCGTAGGCCAAGTAGTTCATGGTGAGATCGCAGAGGAGCTCTGGCAAAACAAGTGTCACCCCCAAAGCAACCGACTTCCCAGCTGGCAGCATTGGGAAGGTACACGGCCATAATGACATCATGGTTTGCAAATAGTAGGTCTAATTATGTAACCTGAAAAAAAAAAAGAAAAGTAGAGATTTATCGATCTTGTGCTTTCTTACCAGCGCGTGGGCTCAGTTAGCCGATTTGGATCTATGATTGCCCTGTAAAAGTCATCTAGATTCTGCGAGATCACCCTCCACAAGCAGACGACCTACAACCATGACATCACCCGCACGCCCGCAAATGCTGAGATACTGCAAGGCTGCAGCTCGCTTTTGGAATTAAACAACGATCATCCGGGACGGTTTCATCAGCTACAGATCTGTTCTGTGCAATAATACGGGGTGTTTTCACTGTATGGAGATGGAGGGATGCAGCGTGCTATTATCTGAGACGGAGTGCTTCTGCTGGATGAATGCCCTGTTCTACAAGCCGCTCAGACTAGTATTTTGACAGGCACTGGATAACGGTGGGTCCAAAGCAATCACATCTGTGACTTTGACGAATGGCTGTGCTGTGGCGAAGTTGAAAATAACACACATCCACTTTAATCTCTGTCTTGATTAAATTGGAATCACGTCTTTTTTGACATAACGCGTTTCATTCTCGAAGTACGGACTACTGGACAGACACACACACACCTATATATGGAATCATGTATGCATATTCCTGTGTGTGTGTGTGATTCAATTGCGGAAAATACATATTTTATTAAAAGGTGTTAATCCGAGTGTAGAAGGACTATTTATATTCACACAGTATCTGGACATTCTCATTGACGTGTTCAACAAAAATATTTGCATCTGGAGTTCTGTTCTCCCGCAGCGTCTCCGTCAGCACTTCCAAGAAATGGTTTGCTTTTCCTGCCACACTTTTCCTCAACTCAATTTCTTTTGAAGGGCCAGAGCGGGGACACGGAGAGGGAAGCAGGGGATGACGAGGAGGTAGGGGGGGGGGGGGGTGGACCGATGCACTGGGGGAAGGAGGAGGGTGAGGGAAGAAATCAGTGGGGTTATAAATAACACTGATGAGGTGAGCTAGAAATGATCCACACTGCAGTTGAGAGGTGGGTGGTCCCCCCGTGCTTAATTGGCAGTCATGTGCCCTGGGATGCAGCTACTACTAAATGTGGTCTGTCTCTCATTAGGCTCGGACAGGCTGAAAATACAGCAGCTAGAACTGGAATTGGAACTCAAACAGAAAGAGATTCAAAAGACAAAGTGCTACAATTAAGACTGATGGGGGGGAATGATAGAAAGGGAAGAGTGGGAAATGGAAGAGTGTTACTCACGCATTTCACCCTCAGGGCCCTGAAGGAACCTTTCCAGGATGATACGAGCCATCAGTGCAGGAGACAGATCCGCCTTTGCATGGATTGGACGAGACAAAATATAGAGAGAATTTGCATTATTAAAGAAAACAGATTCCGCATTACGGGGGAATTGTTCATTCGAAAACATTTGGACAATCGCTCCATTTACAAACCGTCAGACTAAATCCCACATATCTAGTTGGCAACGGGAACATATTTCAAAGAGCCGAAGAAAAATACGGCACAGACATTACACGGCCAGTCTACCTTTGCCCGATGTCACGTAAATAATAATGATTGTAATGGCTCTAAATGATATTATTGCGGTTCCAAACCTTGACCCAAGTTTTGACAATCCCTGTGCAAATTGTTCATTGACAGCGTTTGCTCTGCAATAACCTTTTCCCACAGGAACAAGAGTCCACCAATTACAACGCCAAGCTACCCGGCGGAATGGCCTTCGCCTCTGTCAGACGGACGAGCCTAGTGTCTCTCATCTGGTATGAAAAAGCAGCACACACTGTGCCCGGGCGAGAGACAGTGGAGCGCTTTAATCATGGGATGATCAGCGAGGCAAAACTCCAGGAATCAACGGGACACGCCGGAGGGACTGTGAGAATGCAGACTCTTAATAGGGAGGGTAGAACCTGTGGCTGCAGCGCACTTTGAACACAAAAGACACCTTGAGAGGTGTGCAATGTTTTTATTTTGAGTGCGGGGGAGATGCCCTGACAGGTAAGGGAGAACTAATTGACTGATACCAAAAGGTGTCTATCCGGCCAGTTTCTTCAAAGCACCATGGCTTCTCACACACAAGAAACTACCATGAAAAAAAAGAAACTGCTACAGATCATTTATTCTATTATTTAGTTAAATTAACAGGCATCGTCCATTAAAACTTACTACGCTTTAAAAAGAAAAACCAAGGGAGCAAATGTGTTTTTCAAAAGCATCGCATTTCGATTGCAAATAATAAGACGCATTAATTCATTCACGGCATCTTCAGTGTGGAATGGATTAAAACATTGCTTGAAGACAAGCAATTGCTAGCCGGCTCGTTATGAAACAAAACGTTCTCGCAGCTAAAGATGATTTTTTTTTCTCGGTTTAGCATAATTGGCTACCAAAAGTGAATTTGCCTGTAGCCTGTAGTGGGAATGGAGTGTTTCATCTTTTCTCTGATGCTTCCTGGTAACGCTGGGAGCAGAGAGGCTTCTGTCTAAACAATGTCTTTTCACCTGCAGTGGTATTAGTTAACAACTCCATTATATTGAGAGAAAGCGGCTTCTAAAGAGGCCAAACATGTCAATAATAATATATATAAGTGGTGAAGGTAAGAATTTAAATCTTCATTAAGACCCGTAATGGCGTTTTTAAATGTAGCATTTGTAGCCTGCAGCTACTGTACCTCCCTTTCCTCTCCCCAACCCTCCTCATTTTCCCCTTTCTTCTCTACTCTCAATCTTTTCCTCTCTGTGCTTGTTGGCCTGCTCTCTATTCACACCTTTGGATAATGAGAGAAGAGCATCAGATGCAAGCTGACACATGAAAAATGGCAACATTACCGACGCTGGCCCAGCCTGAATAAGAACCACCTGATTAGTTCAGGTACCTGCATCTCCCTAATTTTCATATTAATCATGAGTCCATCTATGTTCTCAAGTCAGACTGCGGCACTTCACGAGTTTAACATGTAACTAAGATTCACAGAACCTTGAATCCTGCCCAAAACAATGGATTTTCTTCAGTATATATATATAAATTATTTTTTTTTAATTACCCCCCAAAGCTAATGGGTGTACGTACTTAACTGCCCCTTTTATAAAACCTGTATGTTTAGGTAACCTTAACACAAAGCTTCACATAAAGCCTGCAAAAAAATAGCAAATGTGGAGTTTAAGTCCTCATTCATTGGAGACATTGTAAGGGGGGGGGGCATGAATAGTTTTCATCATTGTTAATCATTTCCCTCTGTTGGAGATATATTGTCTCATAAAGGGATGAAACTACATCAATTAGCGGTCTGGGAGACCATGAGTGCTTGGTTTAAATGTTAAGTAGCATATTAAAATGACAGTTAAATGGTTCACAGACAGTTATCTCGGAGCTGAATTTAATCCTTTGGAGAAAAAAAAATCATGTGTCAATTAAATGGAGAATGAATAATGGCAGTTAGCTTTGAGGTGCCACTAATGCATTTGAACTACTCTGATTTTAGATTAAAAAACCCTCAAATCTCGTTGTGTGGTGTGAACACAAACACTCAAATCTACATTCATATATTTTAAAATTGTACGCAGCTTATTCTAACAACCAAAATAGGAGGAAACACAAAGACTAACAATGTGTTTAAATGACAAACAAATTAAATAAAGATAGATGTCAAAAACAATTCAGTATGTTCGAACAGTAGATTCTAACTAAAATGATGATTTACTTAAGAACAGAGTATAACTACACTAGCGGCCAAGTAGACATATTCTATTTGTCATTATAATCTTGGTGGTTAGAACTTGCAGAGACATCAACCAGAGGACAAATCCTGCAGTCACCACCGAAGGTAAACAAGGGCTGAATAGAAGAATTAACCAATGACCCAGCCCTCACCTGTCCGCAGTTTGGGACGACTTTGTCTGAAGTGCAATTTAAAGAATAACATAATAAAACACAAAAAGTATTTCAACATCTGCTTAATGGAGGTGAGGGATAATTATATTAAATAATTGATAATGGAGCAGACCAATTTACCAATTTTAATAATGACTAACAGCCAAGGGAGAAAATCCCAAACTGCATCCAATTTCTATCGTTCTATTTATAGAAACAAAGTGGGCATCAATTGCAAGGAACTATTTAGTTTTTTCCAAAAATGCTATAAGAAAAGAGAAGAGAGAAGTTTGTGTCATTACCTTATTGGCCAATTCCAGCAGCACGGGAGCAGCGGGGTGTGCTTTTGCTCCACTTAGATACCTTTATTACAACAAAGCACAACAACAGCAGTGAAAAGAAAAGGCCCACAAAAGGCAGACAGAAGGGTCGAGGGGACAAGACCAGGCTAGCCAAGACATGCTAATGTCCCTGATGACTTTGCCCTAGGTGGCATATGGCAGGCCCGTTGCGGTTAAAACAGCACTGCTTGAAGGGATTCAAATTTCCTTGAAGCCAGATGATGGTGATAGTTAGTTAACCCCTGCCGCCCCAAAAAGCCTTTCTTCCCCCCGCCAGCTGAAACTGCAGCTCCCCTCTGATCTTACCCAGATCGTCTCGGAGGTTTGTTGTTGTAAGTGGATTAGAAGTGCATTATCCAGCCTTGTTTTCTCCAGAACAATGGCCTAATATGCTAGATAAAGGCTAATTGCAATATGCAAAGAGGGTCCCCCCCCCTAAAGCCTGTTTCTCCTTTTTTCCTTTTTTTATTTATCCACAGTCATTGAATTATAGATAATCACGGCATCATAAGCCTGTGTAAGGCAAATGTCCAACGGCTGGTTATATATTTATTTATTTTTGCTTTCAATTTGACACGGAGAACAGAGCTTTTGCATAGCAGGTGCAAGTGGAGGTCTGGAATGAATCCTGAGGGTGGTGATTTGTTTGGGGGAGATTATATCTGTCATGGTGGCCCACCTACTCGATGACTCTGGCCAGTGCCTTCCACAGTCACGGGATGGTCCAGACAAAGAGAGCACACAAGAGCGGGAGACGGATTGAAAAGAAAAAAAAATCAAATAGAAAAATAGTGATGGAGAGAGCAAAATGAATACAACACAAAGTAATACAGTACCTCTGGTAGTGGCCGTCGATAACTTCTGGTGCATGGTGTCTTGAGAAAGTTCGTTTGGTTCGTTTCTTTCAAAGAAAAATGTAATAATGCACGTGATATTAATAATGTTTATTTCCGTACAATTCTATTATTTACATTGCTTGGAGGCTAAAGCTTTAGCTTTACATTTCCCCAGTTTACCTAAATAGAATAAAAACGCAGACTGGCTCGGCTTTGACTCCTCTTTCATGCGCTGTTGTATATGAACAAGTGCAAAAGATCTCAGGTCACAGTGATTTAATTTCAATAACTTTGCTGGGGGGAAAAAAAAAAGCTTGCCAAGACAACCTTGTTTAACCCCAGCCCCCTCTCCCCCCTCACTCCAACCATGTATTCATTTCCCCTTTTTCGATCAAACAATGACCCCATTCCAGGCAACCCTGACATTTCCATGCAATTCAATTGCAATCTCCCGCGAGAAGGAGGAGGACAAGGGATAAAAGAGGAAGAGCATTGGTTAAAAAACAACTTATTTAAAAACTACCACACGCAGAAAATGTAATTCCACCGAGACAGGCAGTGTGACTGACACCTGTCAGGAGGATGATAAATGACTCCATTTTCTGCCTGTGCTGCCTTCTGCCACTGGCGGCAGCGCCCATTTATCATCATCCGCTGTCAGCCGTGGCAAGCGGCAGTGACAGTGCGAGTCAGCAAACATTTAGCACACGCAGCCGCACTACACAGGGAAATTATTATTGTCAGAATAATAATGGTTTAGCATAATTTATTACAGGTCCACCAAATAAGCAGGGGCTAGATGTTATTAGACAGATGGATGGGAAGGCTTGGCAGACATCCACCGAGGCTCAGGCATGGCCCTCAACGTGAACGTGAGGAGGTGGTGGTGGTGGGGGGGGGGGTGGAGCTGGAATAAACAGGGGTATGGTAAGAGGGGGCGGGGGGGGGGGGGGGGGGGTGGCTTCCTCCAAACCAATCAGAGAGCTGGCAGTTCAATTACAAAGAAATAAAGGGACATTCATCATTCAATTAGGCACCTGTCAGGGCTCACAAAGGAAGAAAACTTCTAACCTGGTACTCCAGGGAGAAGATGCTCAGAAGAGTGGACTGCGAGTGACTGGAACAAATAAAAGAAGGACAAAGTTAATTACCAGAGTGCATTGCACAGAGACAAAGGGAGAGGAGGGGGGCTTCAAAGACGGGGCCAGCTGCCCTGTAATCTAAAAGAACATGAAAACAAGTGTGGCAAAGTTGTTCCAGATGAACACCTCTGACAAAGGATTCCTTCCACCGTGGTGTGGGGGTGGGAGGATGGGGAAGGTTGGGTGTTGCATGAGAGATCAGAAGCCGTTTATTACTCTGTTCTTTCACACATACCGTGTTCCTCCACGCCCGCGTTCATTCAATTAAAACCCAAACTAAATATGGCAAAATTGCAGGAAAATGAACGATGTCTCTTGCGATCGACCACTGTGGGATTGTGCATTTGTTTGCGGGAGCGGTGTGGCGATGCAGAGGTGGGAGAAAGTTTTCAAGCTTCACTGTCAGAGCACACGAACCCTTCAGGGGCACTCGCACTGCAACTGATGGGCTTTGAAAATGGAAACTTTCACTCCAGGAAGCTCGGGCACCGAGGAGTCGCTCAATCCCGCGGGTCGCCATGAGTTCCGTACGACTGTCACTAGTCAATGACAAGCAACCGGCAGAGAGGCAAACCTGGGAAACAGGCAGCTCCAACACTGGTACTCGCAGACCCGTTGATGCTCCTCTCCAACTTTCTCTGCATCATTTGGGTCGAAGATATTTAAAGCGGTGACGGATATTATCGTAATCTACCCTGCATGTCATTGGGAAAACAAACCACACATCCAGTAAGGGTCAACCCTCGCATTCACAAAGTGCTCTGCGGCGGCCTTCGGTGGTTTTGTGTCTGCTCCCGGGAAACACTTGATCGTGAAATGTAATGGACTTTTCATCGGGAGCCACGTGGGGAGGGTGTTTAAACACTGACGAGAAGCCCAAGCTTGAAATATGCATTGAAATATCGAGTCCACATAGTGTAGGTTGTCAACATCTATCCCTGTAAACGTTGATATGTAAACAAATATTTCAGTCTGGAGTCTCAGCCAGTGACCGTATCTTAATAAAAACATTTCAACCACAGGAATAGTTTTTAATCGCTTGCCCCAGCAAAGACGTTGTGTTGGGTTCTCCAGATTCCACTTTTAAGAAGGGTTTTACTGCTCTGGGTGGAGGACAGCTAATTCTCAACGCTCTGGACCTCGACCCATCAAACAGACGAGCCTAGTCTTGAGTCTTGTGAAAGAGTGAATGGACAAATGTTTGAAGCAACGCAGAAGAGAGGGGGAACTCTCACTGCTACCTCAGCATTCATTTACAATGACGCTTGGGGACATAGGGGCCAGTGCAATTAAGTGGCCCATTAAGTGGTCAACTGTCAACATGTGGACACTTAAGGGAGGGAAAAAAAAAAATAATAAAAGAAAATTCTTCCACACTTCAACCTTGCACCTGAGCATTTCAACAACATTACGGCTTATTGTTGGCATGGGACCATCGGGATGGCCGTATAGGAACAGACATCTGTTAGGTTTTAAATGGATTACTCTCTGTAATAAGCATGATTACCGCCTAATTGCTAAATCTATACCCTGTTAACTTTAAAGGGACATAAACTGCTCTAAATATCTGGGAAAACATATCGGTTTCAAAAATACTAAAAACTTCAGGGAGTTTAGCTTTTTCTTTCTTACCTCAATCCGTTTTTGCCGACATCAAAACTGGACAAAGGCGTCAGAAACGAGGAAAAGGACTCAAGTCCTGATATGGACGATTAGATCAAGATTTTTTTTTAATTGCAGAGAAATGTAATAAGATGAGGGCGAATACCTGGAACAAAACCAAGAGTTGTGCGCATTTTATAGGTCGGTAGAGTTTTTCAATCGCACTGATCTTGTATAATGTTTTTTTCCCTTTTCTATTAAATTTGCATTGATTAAATGCAATCTGTACTCTCCTGACCCAGTGTTCTCACTTCATGCTTAAATACGGATTCTCACAATCTGATCTGCCTGCTGCACAGTAGATGTAACGCATCCACCAGCTTGCCTTATAATACCAGCATTATAAGCTCTCGCTCCTCTCACTGGGTATAAATATAAATCAACTAATACAAAATATTCCAAAACCAGATCAATCCCTCTCTGCCATTTTTGGGCAGCATTTTATTTAGATTGGTGCACATTGTGAGAAGGGATTTCTATATGAAACATATATGATATTTACATGTAAGACAAAGATAACAAGGTAATGCATCTTATAAAAATGTAATTTATTTGAAATAAATGCCAGATCAGATAGTCTGGGAGAACTCTAAAGGTATCTGCACATAAGAGGAACAATTTATCTGTGAGACGTCTTTGCAAACAAAGAAGTTCATCAATCTCCTAATTGTTTTGCCTGCTTTATTGTATATATTATAACTACAAAAGATGTTTGAAAGTTGGGTTTCAAACCAGTGTTACATGGTTGAAATGTCTAAACGCAAACAAACAAACATTCCAGTGATTCTCTGACACTGAAGCACATCTTTACATTGACCTTTATGTGGGTTAGAAAAAACTAAAACTCTCCCCCACTTGGATACCATTTAAAACATGGAGAAACAGACGGTTGGGAGACAGAAGAGCGGTTAGGGAATCATTCACTCTAAACCTAATTACCCTTCCTCACAACATAAGACAGAGCATTAATATGAACTGGCACCCAAAATAGTAAAGCAGCAGATTAAATTAAAAACAATTAGGGACTTTCACTTTGTCACTGGGCTGGTATGCTTGTCTGGCCAGTGCTTTAGGCTCTATTAAGTTAGGCTATCCACTGGTTATGAATCTGACACACTCGTGTTCGAATCTCCTCGTGCATTCAGAGTGTGCCTGAAGCATTCAATAGAAGGCAGTAGCACAAAATCCCATCCACCTAATTAATAGGAGATGGGGGGGAAATTCCAGCGATCAATTAAATTTTAAATCTTCCTATTTGCCAATAATGAATCATAAACAATAGATGTCATTTAGGTAATGAAAGCCACCTGGCTAATGACATTGGTATCATATGCTGTGACAGTATCGAGCATTTGGTGGATCTGCATGCAGAGAGTGTTGCATGGTGCGACTCTTCAGGGCATGGAACTGGCTAATTAAGGCGTAGCACATATTTTTACTAATGGTGATGAAGCCATTCAGACAAGGAAGGGGAATGACACGGATGAAAAGGTTCACTCTGGCAAAGTGTATGGATGCATCGCTTCGTCTCCACACCTGGATCTATGGTTTTCCACTCCGTATCACTTAGCTTGTTAGCTAACGTTACCCTAGCATACCTGGGATTCACACATCATTTTGTTTAAGCAAGGTCACTGACAGTAAAATATTATGTATTTTCCTATGGATCAATATTTTGTAAAGTGAAAAACAGCTGAATGTGGGTTAAACACGCTGGATATGCAAATGCTGCTAATTGCGCATGCTGATAGGCAAAATGCTAACATCTGTTTCTCAGCTAAGCCTACCGTCATCAGCACCAAAACAAATGTGTACCAAAAAGGGAATCTTTACGCAGTAATGTATAAATGTGATGTATTGTGACAAGGGATAGAAACAAACAAAAATCTCAGTGTGTCATGTAGCTTCATACAAATACTTGCACAATGAGCACACGTGTTTACAGTTCAAATTCGTTTTACTTCCTCCCCCTTCCAAAACAACTTTAAAGCTTTTTTCCCATTACATTCATGGTATTTACTACAGTTGCAGCAATGCATACTTTCTTTTTTGTTGTTGTTAGTGTGCATGTAATGGACGAGAAACAAACAGTATACTAAATATTGTATTTTCACCATAACTGAAGAAAGATTTTGTGGAGAAAATTCCACTACATCCCCAACTTTCTCTGCAGAAGGCCAGAGCCGCAGACCTACAGGCCTGGGGGGGGGACTGTGGATGGAAATGGCTCTAGCAGAAGCGAACCAAGGTATCCTACTCCCTACAATTTTCCTAATAGATGAAAAACGTGACCTCTACAAAGCTCTCTACGCGTTATTACAATCTTTAAAATCTCTGTCTGCTGAGGTACCCGGAGATGTCAGATCTGTTGTGTAATGGTGGCGAAAGGAGCGGGAAAGGCCCCCACAATCACCACCTTAATTGTGATTCCACTTGAAAGCCGGAGGTCTCCACGACTCTCCGGGTGACAAAACATGTTAAAACGATCATTTTCCGTAGCCATTGTTAAAGTGCAATTATTGTCACCGTTCGCTTCTGCGAATTCTCGTGGAAATCGAGAATGAGGTCCGTGTTATCTGTCAAGTGGCCGGCGTCCACTGGTCTGGCAAAGAAACACATTACGCTGACCAATTGCCTTCTCCCCCAAGCGTGGCTGGGGAACTTGTACCATTCTGGGCAATTTGTTTCATTCTTCTTTTGCAATTGATCCCAGTATGCAAAGAGAACCCGGGGCCAGAGACTCGACCACGGCTGCCCCGCTGAACTGCGCTGCTCCTACGCTGCAGGTTTCCCTCTGTGGGCGTTTAGCTACGGGGAGGAGGGGGGGGTTGTTAAGGGACGACGGCGAGAAACACCGTGGAAATTATAATGATCGTCCTCACAATAAACTACATTCCTGTGTCAATAATACCAACATGTTATTCGGTCTTGCCATCCAATGAAAAAAATAAAGAGTAACATGGTTGCTTAGCTCAGGGTTTTTTTTAGCCCAATGAGTGGGAAAGGCTTTACAATCTACTGTACCGAGCGTGCTTGGACAGCGTCCCTAAGATATGATGAGAAGGTAGTCCTTCCTGGGCTTCCTAATCAAGTAATTGATTGCATCTATTATTCATAGACTCCTTAGCCTGCCATGAAGTTGTGAACTTAGCACAGCTTCGCTTCTTTCTGCATTTCTCTTCTTGGACCTCATTCATCCCTTCACCCGTTCCAACGCTCGTCTAACCACATAAAGCTGTGGAATTAGTTTGCCGTCGTCTCAGCCTGCAAGGGTTGTGGCCCTAAGCTTCAACTGCCAGTTTGTGTTTCGTTCAAAATGGGGGACCAGGAGTGTGAGGCCGGCGCACCGGAGGCCGTCCGGGCCGCCCCGCACCCCCTCCCCCCCAGGGTGTCAGGGGATGTCATTGCCACTTCCAGGGTACAACAACAACAAAAAGTATTGCATCTTCAAAAGAGACTTAAAATCCTAAACTGTTTGAGATTAATTCATTATCTGATTTGGGGAAATGGAATTTGACACAATATTCTGAAACTGAATTGGGGCATATAAGTGTGAGTCAACAAAAGAGACACATAAAAAATCACTGTAAATGAACTTCACGCACTGTAAATGCAGTGCTTGTAAATAGTTTCATAAAGAGTAAAAAATATATATATATATTTGAAAATACACAGATTCATCTGAAAAGTCAACTAAAAACAATCATAGAATCAGATTTTTTTTTTTTTAACTAATGAGCTACAAAGTCTAACTAAATGTATAAAGAGCTTCACAGTTTAATGCATCGCGCCTGTTATCAAATCCTAAGCTTTATCCGGCATGTAAAAACAACAGCCACAATAAATAATCAATGACCAAGTCCCCAAGCTTCGTCACGGGTCTGGATATACC